CAGCCTATCTTGAATCCGAAACCATGGGCTTCTGAAGAAGGGATTAAATGTTTCTCTGGATAACAAAGGAAACGTTTCATAAGATATTCTTGCGGAGGCTGTATCCAGAAGAGACCAAATGTAAGATGGAAATGGAAGTATTTCCGAGAATTCTGTCGCATCAAGAGCCAACAAATGGGAGTGTATTGACGAAAGTACGCAGAAAATTACAAAAGAATGACCAAATAGTTCTTCAAGATTATAAGGGGGAGTGACGAATGTGGATGTGAAACAATACACTGAGAAAATGGAAAGTATGCTAGACTAACAAAATGCTTATCAAATACTAAGAAAGCATCAAATTATGAGGCTCAACGGGATAATGGAGGATATGCTAAAGAAAATGCATAACAACGGAGAAATCTACAGAAGAATGATGAACTCTTTAACCACCGACAACCTACGCATTACCGAAGATACACAAGGAAGGAAAACCGTTAATGTTATTAGTCAACAACAAGCATCGAATGACGCATAAAAGAGTGAAATTTCTATGCTTGAAGCACAAGAAAGTAAACAACAGACTCTCAAACACCATGAAGAACTAATGAATTTTATCAAAGGATCCAAAACATTTGACTTGTATGGGCGGAACCGTTGGTAAGTTTTGGCGTACAACCCGTTTACATAAACATCTCAGGCGAGAAAGTGGTCACCCCCATGCTTGAGATATCGGAACGAGATGAGGATATCCCGAAAGCAGAGCAGATACGGAAGGAGTGGTTAACACTACAATAAAGTTCACGTATTTTACATTTAACGGCAGTATCTATGAGCAACTATTTGGACTATTGATAGGATCTCCCCTCTCACCTCTTGGGAAATGTATACATGGACAAACTGGAAAGGGAATTTGAGAAGTCACCACTGCAACCATGAGTGCTTATGCGATACCTGGATGACTAATTTGCACTTTGGTCGCATGGTAATAAAAATTTGGATGAATTCTTTAACCTTATGAACCAACTTAGTGAAATAATTACGTTCACAATGGAGGTGGATAAGGATGAGCGACTACTTTTTCTGGATGTTGAGACCATTTACTCTACAGCACACTCAAGAGAAGACTAACCAAAAAATCATATGCGGGAATAATCCTCATTTTCCAGTCTCATTACAACTATAGACGGAAGATCGGAAAAATGAAGAGTTTGATAATCAGAGAAATTGAACAAAGTGACTCGTAATTGTCTTAGTAACAGATACCCCGGAGAATTTATATAAAGAAATATAGAGGCCATAAAGAGCAGATATCAACTTGGGTATTATGAAAATAAAACCAGGAATCTGGAGGACGATCAAAAGTGGCTATGCCTACCCTTCGTGTGAACTGAATCAAAAGTTGTGACCGTTACTATGAGAATTGAATAGCAGAGTGATAAAAAAGGAAAAGACATTACTCTTCCCCAAGCCTGCTGATGCAACATGAGAAGGTTGACAAACTGGATTTGTCGGAAGTTTATCGCGTAAAATGCGGCAATTGTGAGGATAAGTATAATGGGGAAACAGGAATAAATATAAGCATAAAAACAAGAAGCATAAAAGACTCGGCAGAAAAATGGATACGTAAAGTTCCGAAATAATGGAAACATTGCATGGACGAGACATAAAATCGACTGGAAATCGACAGAAAGAATGGTTGCATATGGAAAAAAAAATAAAAACGCAAGATCCGAGAGGCCATTGATATCCGAACAAGATCAGGAGAAAGAAGACGACTAGATCAAGGAAATATTTTAAATTGGAGGAAAACAAATTGCTGTGAGGCCAGAGAGGATACATTGGAAACCGAGAGGAGACTTCTTTAATAAGCCTACTCAAACCAAATACAACCATTATCACATTTGAGGGTTGGCACACAAGATGAGGCGGAGACCAGATAAAGTTAGCTAACAATAGACGGTTTTGATCAGAGACGTGGTTGATGAAGTAAAGGCATGACTAGGAGAGTACCCGATGCACAAGCCGAACAGTGATAAATGAAGCTGCGACATCAAGCTAGTTTTCCATCCAGTCTGAGATTTCAGGCTTTAGATACCTGCTCAATGAGGCTGGAGTATACATGTTATCAAAGGCTTTAGGCAGAATAAAGAACATAATGCCTTGAGTATCACAGATATGGTGGCAGTGCTCCAGTGAACTCACTGAACAAGTGAGGTAAGAAACGGACCAAACGGGGCAAGAGGATGGCTTTGATAGATACAAGAGTAAATAGGCTTTGATTAACCTTCAGAGACAACATTGTTTGGAAGACCATCATTTCGTAAGAAAGTTAATGAAGAAGAGATTAGTAAATTGATGTCACCAGAAGACGACGACTGGTTACCGTTGTACTGCAGCCGTTTGGCTTTACGACGTTCAGGTTGGCGCAGTCTCCCTTGCTTTGAGTCATCACAGCTTGTAAAATTGATTGATTAGCAGGTAATTCCAGTAACTTTTGATGTTGTGTCTATGGACACAAATATTCCTGTTCAAGGGGAAATTCAGGCTCTAGCAAAACTCTGGAGGAACATCTAGTGATCATAGAAGGAATAAGGTCAAGTATAGCCTCCATCCCTAGACTTCTTAACTTATCCATGAGTATCAGCTATTTTACATTTGATGGTAAATTATATAAACTAGAGATAGGATCTTGTTTATCTCTCATTTTGGCTAACAAATATGTAGCCAAATTTGAGGAACACTATTTGGAAAAGGCAATACTAACCCCCTTTACTCAAGGATATAATTATCCTTTGCGCCTAATTGTTAATAATATCGCTTTAATAAGGAATAAAATTTCAGACGGAGAATATATAGTCAAAAAAGATGAGCAGATACCCTTTCTCATGTCCAAATCTTGCCGTCAGTCTTTCTTTATAAAAAGAAAGGCGAACAAGTAAGAAAATAAGGGATACAAATAGTTCAAGGAAACCCTCACACTTTCTTCTGGTATGCCATCTGTTAGAGATAAATATGACACATTATCGAGATCCGGCTGCTACAAAATTGTTTGCTCAT